ACATTGAACGCGGCCAGATAGACTGGGTGTCGAGGCTTGAGGACTGATTTGGAGATTCCTGAAGATGTCGGCACCATTTGACGAGCAAATGCTGCACGCAAAACCGATGCATGACGAACGGAGTCATCAGTCGTAGGTGCTGGGCCTACAAGGAGAGAGTCATTAATGGGGTGGGGAGAGGGGAAAGAAAAAGTATGTGAAGGAGAAAGAAGGGAGGCGTCAGCAGTAGCCTGTTTTCGCTTACCCGCCCTGCTGTATGTAGCAAGTAAGGCGACCCGGCTGATGGCACCACGCGACGGCCGATGTGGCATGAGTTTATTTGTATATGTGCAATTCATGATTGTACGTGGGCTGGGATACTGCCAGGGCGCCCACACCTAGAGAGGAGGACGATTAGGGTCCTCAAACAAAGCCTTTGGCTCAAAAGCCTAACCGCAAGGCAGCGGTGTTTGGCGGGAAATGCAAATACACTACCATTTCTACGGAACAAGTCGCCACATGTCCCAACCCCCAACCTGTGTAAACATGTGTGTCCTAGTCTGATGTCGACTGTCACACAAACACATGCAGATAGTACCTATGGTGCAAAAGTTACCCAAGCCCAAACAGAAATCGAGACGCAGAAGTCGGGTTCGAACCACGGGCACTAACCACTGGGCCATTTCGCCCCCTGAGTCCATAGCTTCAACGTTCTCCTGGCCAGCCTAGAGAAACTAAAAAACAAGAGTGGTTTGAAAGTTGGAAGATATCTTTCGGGATATTGGGGGTGGCTTGAAATTCTCCATCAAACGATGTATGACACCTGACAAATAAGAAGTGGCATGGTCAAATGAGCCCCGAAATATGCTGCGGTTAGAATTAAATGCAGTCAATCGTATTTAGTCGTTGTTAACAAGATAAAGGAACGAATATAACACAATATAAAACTGTGATTGAGAGCTGAAATGACATAAAAACTTGGAGGAAATGACCGATTTCCACAAACATCGAGGAGCGTGACTAACCGGAAGCTGAAATAAGTTGGAAGTACTGTCAGCAAACTGCACTGAAGTGTCGTCCGAGCAGGCATTGTTGTGTTGCTGAGTTGTAGTTTCATCGGGCTTCGGTTTGGAGCTTGTTGTGGATGGGCCACACAGTACCGGCCAACATGCACGCTCGGATATCCAGGAGGGATCCACAAGGCAGCAGTGTGAAAGTCCTCTGACCAATAGATCTTCAGAATAGAAAACGGAGATTTCTGGAGTGAGAGGATAAGCTAGAAATATCCATGAAAACAGCAGACGTCCACTCTCATATATCGGTTCCTAAAGTTGTCTGTCAAAACAGTAGTTGTTGGTCAGGTAGCTACCGATCTGTTCCCGCGCTTAGCCGCTCAGCCCGCAAACGTCCCGCCAACAATCTAGAGAGCATCATTTGTGCGCGGTTAAGTGGGTGGTGATATCCACTGGATTGATGACGAAACGTTTGCAAGCCATTAGTTATGTACGAACCTCCACCTTCCGTCACATGTGCGGATGGCGCGGACGGTGCGGACACCTGAGCAGACACTACTCACATGTTTCGTCAGTAATATGCATCACTACGCCAGCATTTCGACATACAGCCGGAACCACAAACTGCTGGGATGCGTTCAGCTGATATACAAATGGATTGGTACAAACCCAAACAAACAGATCGGAATCCAGCAAGTAGGGAAACACGTAAGTATCGAACCAAGTACGGGGAAGTGAACAGTTAAGATCAACAGTGAACGGAAGGATATGGTCAGGCCCCATGTAGCTAAGCTCTTTCCTGGTGGGCAAATTCCAAGTGCATCGCTTGCGATTTACCCGACCCTCAGTAGGCCAGACAAGTCTTGTTAGGACAAACAATGCCCATGCATCACTCCGTCTTTAGGCTTTATTTGGTTTTGACTGCATACTGAAAGAGACGTCTAGGCTTAAACTGCAAAGCCAGCCTAGCTCCCACATGCATGTGCCAACCGTCAGTAAGGCTAGTTCAGCTATAACAGCCTTCCGGTGCCTAGCTGCCACGCAAAAAAGCACGAAGACTAAGACACTGTCAGGTTGCCCAAACCTTGACAGGACCATTCGAGATGTTGAGGTTGGGTTCGAACCACAGACCTCCCGGTTAGTAAGTTCACAGTTTAACTACAGAGCTATCTCAGCCTCGTCACTAAGACTGGAACCAAGAGTACTGAAACGGTTCAGATATGGAAACGAAGCGAGTCCCATTACTGTTCATCCATCGAAGATGAGCAGGATACCGACAGCAATTATTCCAAAACTTCGGCAAAAGTGTTACATATCGGCACGACTTCCAAACTGTTTTGTCACTGGACCAAACTGGTAGAGTATTTAATTAGCTGTCCTGGACGGAACAGTCTACCGAAAAGGCTGCATACTACTCTGTAGCTGAACGGAGAGGTGATTACGAATTAGTCAAGGCAGTGGTATCTCATCGGAGGGCTTCACCGGGAGACAGTTTTTTCATACACCAGCACTGTGACGATCAAAATGAGCATAAGTTATCCGGTGGAAAACAAGAAAGCGGTATGAATACCAATAAGAAATAACGGGCGAAAACAAAACTGACCAGGCAGAAGGCTCAAAAGCGTCGCAATCCAAACGCTGATCGAACCGGCCGATTCACCAGCGAACAGGACACGACGTTCTAACAGCAGAAGTTTAAACAACGTCAACGCATCTCGTCCGTACACTCGAACGAAATTGGCCGCACTCAAATCGAAAATCAGAGCACCTGCAAAGGAGGAGGGCAGAGGGATGATTAAAGTCAGCATCAGTGACTTAAGGTCATCCACATGTATCAATCACATGACTACTCTTCAGCGGAAGAAACTGTTCTCGAGTCAGGGGAGGGGCCGATAATCGTAAAAGCGTTGTCCCTATGCAAGGCTTGGAGGAGACAGTGGACCTTGGATACAAATACGATATCGGAACGGAATGACCTGTCCATCCATAAAGACGCATTTTTAGCCTAGTAGTTGAAGTGTACCCCAATTTGATGTCCTTGCAATCCGATACGGACAAACAGAATAAGATGGATACTCACTTAACATGAGTCGACCTGACAAGGCTGAACTCTCAACCTTGTTGGTCGTTGCCGAATAGACTGACCGCTTCAGCGCCCAATCGGAAGCTGGTTTATCTGGCCCAGATGCTTACCGGATTCCAGAGTGAGATGTTGATGGGTTTTGTGAGCCTGGCATTCTGGGATTATTTTCAGGAATCTGACCTTCCTGACACTAACTAAAAACATTTACCACGGACAAGAGAAGAGTTACAACATCACAGTGCAGCGTCCGTGAGGGCGACACCTGATGGCCGCGATACGGTGGTTTTATGGTATGGAAGTGTTTTGGGCAGGCACTTCCGTCGATGTGAAAAATTTCACGCTACGACATCACCTGAATCTCACAGATATTTCGACAATCAACCGCAGATAACCCTGCATAATCACTCTGCCCAAGCGAAAACCTTCCAACCGGGCTATAAAGTTTTGTATTGCCCGATATTTTCGTGAGGGGCTTGCACTGGATGTCATCTATGGAAGAAGGATCCTCGTTAGCGGCAACTTAGGCATAAGGCTATTGAGTTCACTGATTGGTTACACTGGAATTTCAAAACGTTTGTAAACTAGTCAGAAATATTGGATAAGATCGAATCGGACTGGGCTTCACTAACACCACTGATTACCAACAGAATAGATAACTACTCGTAGGGAACAGAGAACTATGGTCAAGAAAACCGCCGAAACAAACAAATAAAAAATGATTCATAAAAAATTGAGGACGGTTTGATTAAACACGAGAAATGAGGCGAGGCGATAAGCGCCGCACAAATTACGGTGGAAAAAAGTACAGTAAGTCACCTTGGTAAGTCGATGGATGGGCCAAAACTGCGCTGAGTTTTTCATCCAGCTCAGCGTAGGCATCTTTGAGTCGCTCCAGTGTGAAACCACCTTCGGTAAAGAATTGTTCTATGAGCTGCGATAAATGATGCGCCATGTAGCTAAAGACCGGCTAGAACCAAAGGGAAGAGAGTAAGGTTTAACTCAAAAGCTACTGGGAATGCAGATCACAGTTGCTGTCCCAGGAACGAGGTCGACCGACCACCGGTGCCGGGATAGTACAACAGGTGATCCCACTGTGTTAGACATAAAACGAGTAGCAAATCGACTATACGGGGGAGGCTACCTTTACAACCTACAAAGCTGTATAAACACAAATCGAAACGCTCATATGTGGTCTCTTCGACCGGTTATGAGCAGACCAATCCTAAAAAACAGGTGACTATGGCGTCCATAGGTGTGAAGTGACGGCTGGAATTCGAGGTAGGATGAGAATGTAAGAGTTAAAACATGTTACAGGAAACACTATCACAGCCAATGACTGCTCGAAATCGGTCTGCGGGCTAAATCTTACCAGAAATACAAACGAACAGTCGGAGCACTGCACATAAACGAGGACCTATACAAACAGAGAAGCGGTTCGGAGCGGTACCAATCTGAATCAAGCCGATTCGAGCAACCAAAGAAGAGTTTGGAACCAGTAAGTTTACCCAACAAAACGATATTTCCCCGGTGGATGTACTGCATCCCTAACAATGAGTGACTTCCGAGAGTCACCAATGGCTGTAAGTCATGTGAGCGTTGTGTGATGGAACTTATGATTAGGCGGTTGAAACAATTGAGCTATGGTCTAAGTCATCATCACCACTGAAAACAACGCCAGATGAAAACACAGGTGCATCACTGTCGGCTAATTCGCGACGAAGAATAGAGACGGCGTACCTAGAATGAACACATCCTTCAGGAAAACAGTAGTAACTATGTGGGGCTTGAAGTGTGCTGCCATTGTTCCTGCATCAATCCTTCTCAGAACAGGCAACTATTTTCAAAGTGAGGCTGACATCAGCTTGCGAATCTTCCGCTACATCTGCTAATTGTTCAGTCAAGTGACCTTCGATTGTTCACACTGGTTGTCTGATGGTTGCTTATGATAAGCGTGGTGTGTGGCTTGTGAATACCACGAACGCTGAATGCTGGCTCACCATCAGCAGCATCAGCTGTAAAAGCCGTGCACCTGCCGTACATTGGTTCTAGCTGCCTCAATTTCGTCCACCGATGATTTTGGAAGATTGGGCGGATAGCTAGGCATTGGAGACGGTAAGTGATATAATGGATGCGTATAGAGAGGGTGTCCAGTGGAGTTTTAATTGGGAAGATTGCGACGGCAGCTATGCATTAAAGGTAACAGCTTGGATGCACCAGCGCCACTGGGGACACGACTGCGTCATGTCTGGCGAGGTCTCTAAACACTGATGTGTCCTGTCGCGGGGTTCCTGTTCAGGGAGACGGCGCAGCTGAGTTTGCTGCCAAGTCACTGGTTGACCTCCCCTGGGTCGTATTCACCCTATGTATGGTTGTACGAAAAGGGGTCTTCTGGCTGGTTGTGTAAATGTTAGAATCAGTGTCAGGTTTTCATAATTTCCCGAGCAGCTACAAACCTAGGATGATAAAGTTTGATACCTGGACACCTGAATCCTGCCCTGTACTGAATATATACTTGATTCGAAATCTGGACTCAGCTGACTAGAGTTATTATGGACAGTATGTGAAAGGTAAATGGGAAATACTGAACAGATGTTCAACAAGTATCATCGACTTTCGTTCACATATAACTAAGGCCAATTCACTAAACATGCACTGCAAGTGTTGACTGACGCTTAGCTGCACAACGTCAAAAGATTTTGATGAGAAACTAGACTTGCTGCCGACGATTGTCCAGTCATCAATTCATGTGAGACAAGAATATTAGTCACTCATTTTTCAAAACCTATATTTGGCACGGGGAAGAGCAAACCGAACCAAAGAAAGTGTGCAGATCGATAAAAGTTATTCATAGCGTTCTGACCGATCAAATCCTGAATGCATCAAAGATTTGTGGCATAATGTCTTGCGTTCATGAAGGGACGTGTCGCGTTCACAAGCATTTTCCGAGTCAAATACTGCGTATGTCACGTACATTGATTGCTAGACAACACTGCGTTTCCTAATTGGAAAATGAAGCACGTCAATTCGAGCTTTGGGCGAAACCATTTTATTGTCAGTGAAAATGAAAGTTCCACGTGAACGGACCTACTGTATCGTTGAACTGACGGGCGAAAAGATTTGCGGTGGTGACTGCACTATGAAAAAAGTGCCGTTTTCGCACCTGGGAAAACTCAATCAGCCTGCCCGCAGGAAGAGGGCGATCAGGTGACTTATTGATCGGGGTGACGAGTGACTTCATTCTTCACCGGATTTCAGGAAACCGGCGGCCCTCAATAAGCCTTCAACCTGAAAATGCGGTAATATATACTGCTCAATAAACTCTATTATGGTTGCTGTTTAGTGACATTGTTGAGCACCGCGGATTATTCAAATTATAGTCCGGTTTTTCTACAAAATTACCGTCCTGGTTTCAACGCACAGACTGAATGAGCATCAAGCAGCACAAGCCAAGTCTCGTTTTGAAACTGCAGATGACCATCACCTAACAAACCCCCTACCCAAGTAGGAACTCGAGTACAAAGCTTGTCAGGGCTTGGTGTAAACTAACCCGAATCAGCGAGTCGAGTCGAACGACTCAAATGAGGGTTTAGTGAGTACACTACTCAAACTTTAGGACAAACTTACGAATCGCATCAGAGCAATCAATGACTTCTGAACGGTGTTCCTGGTCACATCCGGTGTTTGTTGTGCGAAAGCCTGGGAAGGTGAACCAAAATACCGAGAATGCGAGAGTAGTGGTATGTGGAACAGCTCTTAAGGTGGAGCATGGCAAAGAGGTTTCGAGCGGGGTGGTGCAACTTATGACGCCTTATCAAATGATTCGTTGTAGGAAATTGTGGTGGTTTTTAAATAGTTTTAGACAGAGCACAACACATTTGAAAAGTTCTCTTAGATTATGAAAACTTCTTAATAAACGGCAAAGCAGTGTATTGGGTCACTACATCGACACTCTGAGTGACTAGGTCAGTATTAAGTTTTCCAGCCACAGACCGTGTATTAAAGGTTTTTCCATCAAGCACAAGTAGAAAAGTGGGTAGCCCGGGTCATCCAGATTTCTGTAGACATGCACGACATCACCCCACCAAAAATACGGAGATCCAAGCCTAAGTCCAAAGAAAACATAAACAGGAATGAGCTAAATGGTTGCGGTGTTCTGTTTTTCAAGCATTGCCACCCGGCGTAGGTCTATGCTAATGTATTCCGGGGAAAAACACCGTCGACGCGCACAAGGGATGAGCCCGTATTGGTAAATAGCTCGTCTGGCGTAAAAGAGCTGTTCCCCGGTCCTCCAGCTTAGCAGACCCAATTATTCCTTAGGGCCCGAGTAGTACTTCGATGACAAAGATGAACGATGAACACCGAAAACCACGGCCAATCCTAAGTGTGAAGCGAGGTGACATCCGAAGACTTCACAAGAGTACACAGTTTATCCCAATGTCACATAATGGCACTCTCGGTGTTCCGTCGACCTCGGAGAAATATGACGATTAAGACCAACGAGAAACTGAACAAAGTGGTCTGACGAGATCCAACCGGATTCTGCGTAGGAGGCCAAGCAGAAGTGCAGTGCAACGGCAACTTGATGACCTGCTCTCAACAGATTCATCCGGATTCTGTGTAGGAGGCCAAGCAGAAGTGCAATGCAACGGCAACTTGATGACCTGCTCTCACATCCACATTTTGGTTTGGGTACTCAACAAATTACACTATCAGGGAATACCATGAATCTCCGTAGTCGAGAAGCAGATCCCGAAGGGGTACCATCATAATCCCTTTGTAAAGATGGACACAAAAGTAGTCCAGTATGGAGGGCACACACTGAGTCAGCCAGTGACATTGACAGACGATGACTGCTGAATTAGTGAGGAGAGTCCGACAGCCAAGCATCAGTGGTGAACACAGATGTCATGCTGTCAATGATGATGGTGGTGTCGGACATATGCGACGTTCACAATATCGGTGGTAGCCAGTCTGTTGAGGCTTTAAATACCAACATAAGAAACATGGAAAAGAGACCAGAATTCAACCAGAGAGACTCCGATATGCACTCCATCTAATAACATATAGAAACAAGCCTGGTCTACCGAAGTGTGATACGNAAAACCACACCAAAAGCTTCCCTACACAAATCAGCGTCCGTCAGGGGTGCCCACTCTCTCCTTTCCTATTTAATTTCGTGATCGATGAGATAGGGAGGCGAACGCTGGAAGGTTTTTAAAACCCCGATGTGCGAATAGCCTCTAACAAAAACCTGGTCCGTCCTGAATATTCAGACTACTTCGTACTCATCTTCGATGAGAAGAAGGCTCAGGTGTTCCTGGATGAACTGACCAAAGCCACTCCGTCCTTTGGTAAGCACTTTCCACCCACAAAATGTAAGATCATGTTCCTGGAAACGTAGTCACTGGACATACACACACAATCAGAAGTTGTGGGACGTTTTACGTATCTTAGAAGTTGTATAAGTTCTGATTGTAGCGTGACAGGTGATGTCAATGCACCAATCCGCAAGACTTGTGTCGCGTTTGTTGATTTGGGACACCTTTGGCTTCGAAGCGGTATGCCCCTGAATCACAACTGGCGTGTGTATCGGACCACAATACGGGCTGTTTTGTTATACGGCTGTCATCATCATCATCATCATCATCATCATCATCATCATCATCATCATCATCATCATCATCATCATCAATGACAGCAACATCAGTGTTGGCACTGATGCTTCACTGCCGTACAACCATAAGGTTTGTCTAGTTATATATATATATATATATATACAT